GCCCCCCCCCCTCCTCTCTCTTTCAAAAATTAGGCCCATGTTCCATTTTTAATTTAATAAGTGGGTTCTTTATAAAGTGATAAGCTAGCTAAAGCTAATGCTTCCAAAATATTTCCACATCAACATATGCTATATTTTTGTGCAGAAGATTAGTGGATATAAATAACATTGGAGTGAACGAAAGGTTCCAATGACGTTAGAGGTACTATTATTGTTTTCAAGTTTCTTAACTTACCTGTGTGTTCATTTATAATATATATATATATATATATATATATATATATATATAATATATATATTATATATATATATATATATATTATATATATATATATATATATATATATATAATATATTATATATATAATATATATATATATATATATATATATATATATATATATATATATATATATACTTGATATTGCCAGACATTTGAATATTTGTGATTTGAATAATTCAACTCAGGCTTTCATTCCATTTCTATCCTTAGGTCTCAGATTATCCTAAGGGATTTGTTGTTGTCTGTGGTGGTTTTAGAACAATGGTATGTACCAGATGCTGCTAGTACCAGCCATATAATAACAAAAGGATAAGATACCGGTTATTTCTGTAAATTGAAGTTTTACATTTTGTGCACCATTTTGCTTTTGTTTTCCAGCATCTTTTCACATCAGAGAGGAGAGAGGAATTGCTGAAAAAGATGATGGAATCTTCTTTCAATAATGTTGGTGTTATGATAAAGTATGTGAACATTTTAAGTAAACAAATTTTAAGTAAATGACAAAATGACTTACATTCAGGTTACTTTATTTACGTTTTAACCGTTTTTGACAAAATTCTTTCCAGGTCTGTAATTTACTTTGAGCTGTATTTGTTATTTCTTTTGCCTCAGTTTTAGGCAGAAGAAAAGTTCCATCAAAGTGGAGTCGTTTTTTAAAACAAATTTGGAAAATACAGTTGAATGATATATTGTTAAGACAGTATTTCGTTTGTCCTGTGTAAAGAATGTGAGATATGACAGTAAATGACAAATTTTTCGTCTCAGTGATGACGAACATATCACATCAATGTCAGAATTCAGCGTCTATAAAGAAACTCCTCGGATTAAAGTGAGTTATGTTGTTAATAAAATTTTTCTAAGAGTCTATCCTTTTTCTCATTTTAAAATCGTTTTGACACTGTCAAATTTAGGATCCTGTTCAAAGAACGCTGTGTTTCTTAGAAAGGTGTCTTTTGGAAAGAGATCCCGCGACGTACAATATCGTCACCCTTCATCCCCTTAGCTCATTAAGTCATGCGACATTCCATGTCAGTTCCAGTAATTGTTCATGTCTGACCTTGAAAAAAAACACTCCAAACACTCCAAACACTCCATGTCTTCTGACCTGGATTCACGTTTACTGCTTTTATCGTCCTTTTTATTTCACGTTTCCATTTTGAACATGTCCAATTGCAAAAAAGTATCCAGCCGAGTTAAAATACTTTTATTTTTGTAGTTACTTTCCAGAATTTACCGTATATACCGTATAGAATATTATAGTTTTCAAACTTCTTTTGCTGTCAGATATTTTCAAAATTTGCTATCGAAACCATCCTCAGTTGTTGGGGCGGAATACACAAGCGGTCGGCTGAGAAATTACTCGTCTCCTGACAGGTAGTGTAAGAAAGCAAATTTTGTATGAAGCTATAAAAAATATTTCTTGTTTTGAATGTTTGTATTTCACTCAATCTGGGATACATTATTGGCTGGTTTGCTAGACGGTGTTAGAGCCAGTTGAAACGGAGATGTTTGCGTAAAAACGACCCCAACGAAGAAAAGTACTGTACGCTTATTCATAGATGATTGAGCGAAAATTATGGTCAAAATTTTCCTGATGAAAATCTTGTACTGCTATGATTACCCTAAATACGATCCCTCATTTCATTCTCCTGCTGACGTATGTGATCTCATATAACACACCAACAATTACACTTCTCGTCAGGTATCAGGCAATAGCATTATTCCTATTAGCCAGTTCAATACATTACATACAGCAAAAAGAGAATTGTTTTTTTAAGATGATATATTTTTCAAGGTTATCGTTGGGGTCCATTGTATAATGTTGTTGACGAAGAAGTAGAAAGCAGTAATTTAAATTCCTGCTGCGTCTCCAGGTGAAATATTTCTCTTTTTATTTCACTTTAAATTTTTGAAATATCTCCAAAAGCTTATATTGTCTTATGACTGGTTCCTTGCAGGAAATTTAACCGAGGCTGTGTACAGATTTAACTGCAATATTTCCTACTGCGGTCTACTTCATGCAGTCACCCAAGACGTAAGTTGACAACTTCTTATCTTGTACTTTTCTGCAGACAAAATCCTGTGTAGAGAATATTATTGCCTTTTTATTGAGTTTTAATGTTCTGTCAAAATCTGGATTAAGGCTGTTTTCCACTCACGTGTTTTTTATACGCACGTACACGCACGTAAAAATCTAAATCCTTGTTCATGCTACCTTTGAAAGGACTAAGTGAATAAATCGACCTACAATCATGTGCAAAAATTATTGGGACACGGTCATGACACCTAGTATCTACCCCCTCCCCCCAAAACAATGTTGTTTCTATGATACCAAGCCATTTGATTTGCCGAAAATATCACTCTCAACATTGTCAATGGGGGAAGGGGGGATAGTAAATAGTTTAACAAAATTCGTGACATAATAGTTGTCAAAATGAAAAAAAATGTGATTAAGATACGTAAAGTTCATAATTTTTGCACATGATTGTAGATGCACGTTAATTAATAAAAATTTAAAAGCATTTAAATTCTCCGTATGTGTACATGCGTATAAAAAACGCGTAAGTAGAAAGCAGCCTTTAGTGTAAACTAAGCGATTGCTAGGCTGCATAGTTACGCCAAATGAAAACATTTGCCCATTTCGGCTTCTAATTGAAAACATTTAGCAGGGTTTAAAACGTCTGCAAACAACACGGTACATTTAAACTGGTTTATCCAGTATAGGCAAAGAGTATGGTTTTAATAAAAATACCCTAACCTGCTACTGTTCTGTACACAAATGTAGACAAAACACTAATAGTACTCCCTAAAAACCACCGTAACTCCAGCCTAGTCCCAGGCCTCTCATTGCGCGTGTTTTATATTTCCGTCACGTCACCGAATGAAACGCGCACGAGAGGCCTAACACAAAATATTTTCTAATCTTAACGGCCCATTTAATGTTGTGAACTTGAAATTAGAATTGTTTTTAAAGTAAATGTTTGCAATTTACAACAGTAACCGTTATAAAGGAAGCGAGAATAATTTAAATGGGTGGATAGAAGTTTATTATAATCATAAACATGTACGTACGGACTCGAGTTTTCTTGATAGTCGATAGCGTTGACGGCGAACGACATTGAAACGTTTGTATGAATATTTCGACTCCTGGCAGTATAATTAATATCCTGTAGCTTATTTCAAGCAAATATTTGACTAACGACGTCGAACAAGGCCAGTTAACCGCGTCGTAGATCGTAAACTGACCTCAATACAGAAAATGGGGACAAAAAGTCCCCACATTAGCCAAAATACAAAACATTTTGTTCTAGGCCTCTCAGTTCCCGCCTCGCCGCGTATAAGGAACGTTAAGAGGCCTAGGGACTAGGCTGCGGTAACTCTGGTTGCAGAGTTGACTGGGTCCGAATCCATGAAATGGTAGTTTTGAAATTTTCTCGCCAGAAGTACAGCTGGAATATTAAGTCTTTTAAACTCCAATATATATTTCAAACGATTTTAAATATTTTGTAGGACTTTTCTCGGGGAATAAAGAAAGACTTATCATTAATGCCATCACAATGCTCATTGCTCACGAAGGTATTGTATATCTTTGCCAATAAATTTATTTAGTGTTCAACCCTAAAATATACATATTCTGACTGCTATTACCTTCACAGGTGTTCATATATACATAAAATATTAAAAAGTTTCGTCTATTTTCAGGAGACCAAAACAAAATATGAGATAAAGATCTCGAAGCACTGTTTCACGATTTGAGAAGTTGGGTTCGATCAAGCAGGTTTCGCGCTTTCACAACGCTCACTAGGCGAGAAACGTTTATCTTTAACTGCAAACATGCTGTTTACTCAACCAGTTCACTTCCGTGAGAAGGTTGGTGTGAAAACTGTGAAAGCTTTGAAGAGGAATAATGAAGCCGTGACTCACGCCGCTGTCGACATGTTGTGCGTGCTCTATGGCAGGTAAAGACAGGGCTTTTCTTTAAGTGGCCAAAATGGTCAGACCGGACATATTTAAATTTAAAAAAGAGTATTTCGTTCAGAATATAGCGGCGAAATTTCCGAGCTAAATAGATGCAAGAAACGAAATACGTAAACTCAGCCAACTTTGAAATTTGCATGTTAACAGGATCCAATTTTATCGAAACCAATTCTGTTTTTTATAGCTAAGGCACGATAACTATGACATTCGACAAGAACAGGTAAACAAAAGCTCTCTGTTATCCTGTGAAAAATTTCCAAGCAGTTTGTTAGGAATTCTCACGATAAATGTGGTAAGATGTGTGGTTTTGGTTGCCTATAATCTATGCTGAACCAATTCATTTTATTTTTCAATCCCTCTTGTATGTATATAGCCTTGTTTTGGAAGAGAAATTCCCTTGCAAAACTCAGCAAGTGATTTGTAGCAACTGCCTTTGTAATTTGGACTACCTTTCTAATTAACACAGGAAATAGATTAACCATGAAAACTTTTGTTCTAGAATCGTTCCACTGGGGTTTTAGGTATAAGTGGATTGCTTGATTTTTTGACGTTTGCTCTGTGTCCTCCTTATAGGTGAAGTTCAAGTTGCTTTGCAATATATCAAAATAATGTGGGGGGTGAAGTTGGACATTCATGTTAAACTAATAGTAAGGTGTGATTGCTTCTAATATTTTGAATCAATCATGTGGTCTGTTATAATAAATCGACTATTGCATATTCCTCTTAGTGAGACAACAGACGATGAACAGTTTGGGAAATTACTGGAGAAAGTTGCAGGTATGCTACAAAGAGATTTGAGGAGTTTTCATTCAACTTGCCTTCTTAGTAGTTTATAGCTCTTTGACTGACGTTGAGAGTTGATTAAATTGCCTTTCTCTCTTTACATTTTTAGTGAAGTCTACCACGACCACTAGCTTGACCTATGCATGGGAGCAACTCATGAAGTCTGTTATTTGTGTGTCTAGAAATCGGTCATTGCATTTATCGATTGTTCCAGGTAGGTTTACGATAAAACTGCAATAAATAGTACCAATTTTACCATTTCTTCGCTTATGTATGTTTTACTATTGCCCCGCTAATAGTTCTTACCAATCGCGGTTTTGAATTCGTTCCTCAACAATTTCAGCATCCGTCGACAACAATTTTGAAAGGTGCTGGTATGGTTCTGAAGGCGATAATCGAGGTACGTTTTATTCATTCATTGATCCATTCAGTTTTCTGCTTTTGACGAACGTCATTTATAATGCTCTGCCCTTTTTTAGCTCTGATGAATGTACATATTAGTTCAGTTGATATTTAAGAGGTTTTAAAGCGTCTTAATTTTGAGAAGTATTATACACACTTCAATTCAAGCCAGGAACAGTTGATGGAAAAATGAGTCAACTATAGATCCTCCGGCAGGAATCGCTTTTGCGATGCCGGTGCAATGCTCTTGTCACTGAGAACGTATAGTTGACTAATTTTTCCATCAACTGTTCCTGGCTTGAATTTGAAGTGTGTATAATACCACACGAAATTAAGACCCTTTAAAACCTCTAGAATATTCCTGCACCGTGTGAAGTGCCTAAAATCATCTGTTGATATTTATTTAGAACTTCACTTTAGGAAGCTGATGAAGAAACCGCGGCAAAAATACAAGATTTGGCGCTTGCCAAGGGCGCTCTACCAAAACGCTTACGCATGGCCATGATTACGCAAAGCACTGATAGACGTTCGCTACTGAACAGGTGCGAATTAGTGTGATAAATTAACAAATTGTTGCAGATGTATAGCCTCGATTCCATCCGGAGGACCTGAGTTGTATTTTAGCAACATTCTTAGATTCATCTTAAAACTTGTGATTTTATAATCCTCTATATACTAGCCATCTGTAAATAGTTCAATTGAGACTAACAAGCATACTCCATAAGTAATTTATAATCTTTATTGTTGGCATATAGGCAATTGAGTGGACATCTAGTGGCTCTCTGGACAACTGGTCATCCAAGAGCAATGGCATTACTTGTGAGAATAATGTTCGTATTAAAGCAGTTATAGTTTTTAATGTCTAAAATATACAATAAAGTTTAAATGCGGGATTTCCTGTTCGTAAGTTTTGGTTCATAAACCATTATGTAATAAATTTGAATACGATTTTCACAGCCTGCTGGTTTGCTCTATTACCTTGAAAGCCCTGACGAGGTAGGAAATCTTTGAGAATTTTTTGCGAGGGCCATTATTTACATAAACCCATTGCAGTGGTTCTGACTAACCAATCATAATAGTGACTAAGTGGTATCAACTGCTTTGGTAACTAAACTCCATCATTCATCCTTATACTGTGCCAACTGCCCCACTGACGAAATAATTACATAGTAATTCATTCAGAAGTGTAAAACCTTTTTGTAAAGAAGCAATTTTGTTGGAAAGTTTTTATCTTTCCTTCAGCCAGGAGACTAAAGAAGATCATTTATCAATTCGTGACAATGTAAAGCTTGCAGAGTACGTTTTAAAGAACAATCGTGTTCCAAAATTTCATGATGCATGCTTGTATGTACGTATAAGCCTGTTATTTCACGCGCTATACTTGTCTGTTACAGCTCAGGAAAAGCGAGAGGAACGTCAAGGAATCAACTTGAAGGATATCTCTCGCATTGGAGGACAAAAATAGGATTCAAAGCCAGGAAAGATGTGAGAATTTAAATCCAGTTGTTTTATTACAAGTAAGTGTTCATATTAAGAAAATGGGAAATGTTCTAGTCGTTTGAAAGATGAAAAAGCAATGGTATTTAAACGGATCTTTTTTACAGATTCAGTCAAGATCTGACAGCGTACAACCTGATTTGGAATTACAAGGTGAGTCTCGAAGTTAAAGTTAGTTTCCATTGAAAATATAGGAAATGAAAAGGTAATGGAGAATTTCCTGTCGCTATGAGTATAACAAGACAATTCAATAGTCCTGACCTCTTTCTCTAAACTGTTGTCGTAAAAGAGTATGAAAAAATTTCTTTTGTTTTCAATGTGACAGACGCGAGAGGAACTTCTGGGGCTCTCGAATCTGAGATGCGCAAATTTGCAATGGAAAAAGACCTGAGTGGAAACTACGTTGTTTTTTGGAATCACCTTTAGTTTGAAGTCCTGCATGAATGTTTAGCTGATCAACTGAAAATAGGTTAGTGATAAGCCTTATACTGCTCTAGCTTTTTAACAGTTCTTCTTAAAGCGCCCCCCCTATCCCTCGATCGCAATCAAACTCAGTAACGTATCTCTCCTATCAGGCGACTATTATTTGAGAGTCTTGTTGGAACAAAACGACGGGGAGACGCCGATAACAAATGTGTGAGTCCACGACATTTATCTATCAGGATTTGCAAATATTCAAACTACTGTCTTGCTTCCCGCGTCATAAAAACGATTCCAGATACCTAATATATAATATACCTCAGCGTCTTATTCTCTATATTGCTGCACAGTTCACACAATGTTATTAGTCCTGCAGTATGTAGTAGAGAAGTATAGAATCATGGATGAAACAATTCATGATTCGAATTTTCTATTTTGTTTTCAGGCTCGAGTTGTTTAACGATCTGTACTACAGACTGCGATTGACAACTAAACCAACTATGAAAGCAATGTGCTTTCCGGTGAGGATGTCGTTTAGCGCGAGTCTAGCCATGTGTAGTCTTCGAAGAATGAATGAAACAAGTTGGAATTTTATTCACACGCGAAGACTAAAGTTTATGGAAAATGTCAGGAAGAGATTGGCGCTTTTAATGACACCAAGCTAAGGATCATCTGTTATTGATCCAGTTTTACTACAGGAGCCTGAACTTAACTAACTTTATTCATACTGTTTCGTATTTTTAGCCCTTACATGAAAATGGCATCACCAACAGGGATTCGAAGGTAAGCGCGTGCTTATTTATTTATAACTACTGTCTTTATATCCTAAACTTTAACGACCATAATTTAACTTTTTCATCTCTAGCAACAAAATGTTTTACTGTGTTCCTCGGATGACGAAACGCTTATAAAGGTTTGTGTCGGTTGTGTATTGAACTTAATCTCAATTCAGAGTTTTGTCCGTGATTTCGTTTTACGAAAGCAGAGCGCATTCTGCGAACGTTTTCACATGGAAATGATGTGATGCATATAACGTGAGAGGGTAATCTGTAGGAGCCTTGCTTATTAATCCAGCTAACCCTGACTAATCCATTTATTTTGTAATGAGCGAATTTTTGCCCGTCGGAACTATAGGATATAGAGTAGCTCTTCACCCACTAATTATAAATACGGCGACTTTGAGTGAAATCGCTCCGACAACATCTTTTATGCCAAAGTCAATTTGAATGCATTGGTCCTGGTAATTTTTCCGTGCAGATCAAGAAGCTGCCTCATTTAAGCGACCATGTCCTGTCGACTTATCCGCATTCCGAACAACTTTTGCTATTATCTGGGATGTTATGTGTCTTCAGTACGGGGGGCAATAATTAGTATCAATTATTCTATCTTCCGGCACCAAAACACCATCGAAACAATCATCAACAAAAATGAAACGATAATGCAGATAATTGTGCCATATATGGGGCCTCCAGAATTGAAACCAGTCGAAGTACAACGTTATTTCAATTGATTTTGTGAAATCTTTACTAGGGGTTAACTTCGAATTTTATCACATTCCCATATAGGGGAATTACTGAATAAAAAAATAATGTCCAACAGTCTTAATATGACATAATAATAAACTGAACATATACCATGTAGCCTGCAATATTTACCTTGCTTGGTATGTCAGTCAATCAAATCCATGTATGGCACAGCAATGGATGGAGGTGTAGTCAGTGAATAGATAAAGGTAATAATTGTTAGCGACTCTTGGGTTGCCATAATTTATTTGATCTAAAATTGAGAAACAAGGAACAAGTAAATTAATATATTATTGTCCATAGTTGTGAGGCTATCAGCATTGTGATATTCCAGGTTCGTGCGTACCGCTACCATGGGACAACATACCTTAGCGAACAAATAGTACTTCAGTGAATTGCTAGAACATACCTGAAGAACCGCCATAAACTTCAATTCTCAAAGATATGTTGCCATATCAATTCGGCTCTATATGCAATAGAATCTACAATTGAGATTACAAGAACATCACTTTCACACAATTGAAACTATAATTGTATATGAATCACAAGGCCCTATACTGTGTAGTAACAGCATGTATTTTGTGACTTCTATAACAAAAAGAATATACAGAACAAAATGCAGGCTGTTTTCTTTCATATTCACATAATACCCCCAACCCCTGTATATTGGTAAATGGCAATTACATAATAGGAAAGAGAGAAAAATAAATCTATTTTTAATAACATCAGTGTAAAATGAATGACATATGGAACTGTACAGCAAAATATTGTGTAGGCATAATTCTTGTCATGCCTTCCATCACCAGATATCATGAAATTATCTCGGTTTTTTAATGTTTAAATTAATACGTCTAATTTAGAAAGCACAAAAATACCACCAAAATATAGCTGAAGAAAAATACTTTAACCCAATCGCTTCTGTTTTAATCCAGAAATTAATCAATATTGCTGTTAACCTGACACTGCAGTGCAGCTCTAAAAATTATATCAAATTATACTGGATTACAAACGAAATATAACTCGCCTTTGGAATTTCGTTATTTTCTTTTTTATTTTTATCCTGTCGTCTTTTAACCGTTACATGTAAACTGTAAAGGCTTTAGCTATCTTTTCTGATAGTTTTTAAGTCAGGATGGGCAGAAAAACTCGAAAAATATAGCTTTTTTTATTTGTTATTGTGTATAGCGAGGCGTTGCTCAGCGGCACGCACATGTGGTTGTCACATGAGGTTAAAGGTGTCAAAAACGTAAGGTTGCCTACCCCGTTGGAGTAAAATAAGCCCGGTAATCGATTTCCGAAGTAAAATTGTCCCTAGAAGTCATAATTGTAAAATTTTCGCCAATATGGTGATAATTATATGCACATTTCCAGTTTCCATTTGTAAACACGTTTGTTGGAAATATCACTACAAATCACCAAAGCGACTGTATTTCAAGTAAAATAGATGAAAATATTGGTGCCAATGTATACTAGAAATATTTGGAGGTTTTTAGGCGAGATTTTTGGAAGGCTTTCCGTATTTTCGCTTCTCTAAAATTCAATTTAAAAAGTAATAGTTCGGCAATAAATTTCTTGCCTTATAGGAAAGCTTTTGAAATGAACTAAATTTATACAAATAGGTAAATGTTTTTTCTTTGAGATAACACAATTTCTAGTTGATTTTATAAAATACTTCCAGATAAAATCAACATTATCTGTGTGCGCGCTTTACGAGCAGACAGCAATGAGTTTAGTGGTCTCATATTTATTAAAATGGGTTGAGTATTCGCACAGTAATCACATGCTTAAATCAGCTTACCACTTTGAAATATCCTCTGATCGGACGTCTAACTGAGAGGGTCCCTTAAACATCGAGAATACTTCATTAACAAGTGCCGCATCCTGTCCTGTTTGAGAAGTTATGAGAACTTTTTCTTGGGTATTGTTTACTCCTTACTCTGTTGGAAGTTCCATTCTGTTGTATGAGAACAACACTTGTATTTGGTTGGTGAAAGGATGCAGATTG